TTAGTGTCATTGGTTTCTTTATTCTGTGCAATTTTTTGTGCTTAGCTAATTTTTATGGCTCTTTTTATAATTGCATTCATTACTGTTTTATTAGTGTTTGTAAAGGCTTTGTGATTTTCCTCTCTATTATTCTGAAAAGGTGTGTTTACTCTCTTGGCACTTAAACTATAAATTACTATTTTATTCCAGGTTCTAAAATAGTTTGCTTTATTTTAAAATCATTTTGACTTCTCCATCTGGAAGTTCTGTAACTGTACTACTTACTCCATCTTTCCTGTGTAAGTGTCTTCAATTATGCCCTGATAAGCACTGATTCTCTATTTTTGTCTTGTAAGTTTATTTTACTTGGTACTATTGGTACGAGGTGAGGGTAGAGACTGTCACTGAATCTTTTATCTGCTCCTTTTGGTAAAATGCTTGTCTGCTGTAAGTTGTCCTAAAGCTGAGAATCCAAACTAAGAAAGACTAAGATGGACTGGCCATCAACTTCCAAAATAATAGGCTTTTGAAAACACTATGTACAACAGAGCACACTTAGAGTAGCAGATAATGGCACCTGAGACTTAGCCTTTGAATTAGGAAACATAAATGAGAAGGACCAGTTGTAAAATGGCACACATGATTGGAATATGGAATGGGAGAAGCATGGATGTAGGAAGATGGGACATTGTTAAGGAAGAAATGGAACGCATAAATATTGACATACTAGGTATTGGGGAAACGATATGGATTGGCACAACACATTTTGAATCAGAAAATCATACCACATCAGAGATGAAAAGGTGAAGAAAAACGGGGTCGCTTTCATAGTTAAAAACGTCATTTTCTAGATCCATCCTGAAAGACAATGTTGTAATAGGAAAATATCTATATACATACAAGAAGTCCAGTGAATACCACCATCATTCAAATATATGTACTAACCAGAGCAAAAGAGGAGGAAATAGATTATTTCCACCAACTTTTGCCGTCAGAAACTGATTGAACATGCAACTAAGATGCATGAATAGGTGACTGGAATACAAAAGTTGGAACAGGGAAGAAGGTTCAGTAGTTGGAAAGTGTGGATTTGTATTGAAATAAGGCTGGAGATTTGTACAAACATGTACAAACAATGCTTTATTCATCACAAATACCCTTTATAAGAAACATAAACAATGACCATACACATGGATTTCATCTGATGATATGTACTGGAATCAAATATATTACCTCTGTGGAGAGAATCATTGTAGAATCTCACTATCAGTGAAAACTCAGCCATGTGCAAATTGTGAAACAGATTATCAACTATTCACCCTTATGTAAATCCAAACTATAGACAGAATTATGAATGATCCATGGAGCATTTAAAAAAATGGAAGTAGTACACAGAGTCACTTTACTAAAAACAACTCGTTGACACAGAAGAAGTTCACATACCAACATGTGATAAAGAGGCAATTATCATGAAGGAGGCTGCTCTGAAGGAATTGGCAAAAATAAGGCCCTGGAAATGAATGGAATACCAGTTGACATATTTCAACAAACAGACACATACCTGAATGTGCTCACCAGGATGTGCCAAGAAAACTCTATTCCACTGCTTCGAGGCAGAGACTTGTACACCAATGTTCATAGCAGCATTATTTACCATCATAAGAACATGGAAACATCCCAAATGTTCAACCACAATGGAATGAAATGAGAAATTATGGTACATTCACACAATGGAATACGATGCAGCACGCAGGAGCAAAGATTTTGTAAATTACTACCTAACATTGGAGGGACTGGAGAGCATTATCCTAAGTGAACTAACTCAGTTCTCATAAGGACAAATACTGTATAGAAACATTGGAGAGCGTGTACGAGGATCCAAAGCGGGGGCAGGGTTTAAACATGAGGTCACACAGTTTGATGTGTGGAGGGAGGGATTAGTAAAGGAAAGGGGGACGATCCAGTGTGAAAAACAATGTATATGAACTTTATTAACTTTGTATGTAAACCGGTATAAAATAGAATTTAAAATAAATTTAAAAAGAAAACTAAAGAACTACCAGACCAACTGACTAGAAGTAGTCAGTATTCATTCCCATTTCAAAAAAAAAAGGTGGCCAGACAGGGTGTGGAAATTATTGAACAATACGACTAATATCACACGCTAGCAAAATCCTACTGAAGATTATTAAAAAAAAGATTGGAACAGCACTCACGAAAAGGACCAAAAATACAAGATGGGTATACAAGACACAATAGCACTAGAGACATTATTGCCAATGTCAGATGGATCTTGCCTGAAAGTAAAGAGTACCAGAGTAATATTTGTGTTTTGCTGACTATGAAAAGGCATTTGACTGTGTGGATTACAACAAATTGTGGCTAACCTTGAGAATAATGGGAATCCCAGAACACTTGATTGTGCACATGTAAAACTTATACTTGGACCAGGAAGCAGTGGTCAGAACAGAGCAAGGAAACACTGCTAGTTTAAAATCAGAGAAGGAGTGGATCAGGGATGCATCCTGCATCCATACATTTTCATTCTGTTTGTGGGACCAATTATTCAGGAGGTCATCTTTCAGGTATGACCTACATTGTAAGTACACTCTTCCTGCCTTATCCCTATGATTTTCATTCCCATCATTAATCCTCCCATCCTACTTTTTGCCTTCTAAGCATTATCCTTGGGGAGGAGTTTCCCTTTTGATCTCACAGAGCTGCTTGTGAAAACCTCCCTGCGGTCACTGTTCACTCCATTAGCCTGTCTATTCTTTGGTTGAAAGGTGAACCACAGAGGTGAATTTAGTTCCAGTCTCTAGTGGGTGACTGAGGGTCACAGTATCTGGGATTCCCTCAGTCTCAGGTTTTTTTGGAACAGACCACTCTGTCCTTCTACTGTGATGCTTTTTCAGTACTGCTATGAAGAACAATAGTGGGAGTAATAGTAAAGACAAACATTCTTTGACCCAGTGCCGGATTTTCTCGGTGTATGAACTTTGAGAAAAGATGAGAGTTATAGAAAGGCTTCAGGTCTTTTGTTCATAGGGGTGCTATGAGTCATGCTTGACTCCACAGCAATCAACAACCCATGCCCTCAGGAAACTTTACACAAAGTGGTTTGTACAAAGGCATTCATTGCTATATAGTTTGTAATAATGAAAGAATTAAAAGATTCAACTGTCTTTAAAGTATTGCGCTCTGGTGAGCAGTAGTTCCATGCAACAGTTTAAACTTAGCAGTATTTCAGCAGAAGTAAGGTGTGACTGTCAGCTCCCATAAGTTACAGCACTAGAGAACTCACTCTGTGGGACAGCTTTATTCTGTCCTACAAGGTCACTATGAGTAGTAATTGGTGGTTGTTGTTGTTATGAGCAGTCGAGTCGCCTGCGACTCATAGCGACCCTAAATTCTTCTTTTGTCATCTTTATTCACTGTCCAACTCTCAGATGCATAGAAAGTGATCAGAAAGATGATGAGCCTGAATCAGATGCACCTTAGTCTTCAAATTGACATCATTACTTAATAATTTGGAGAGGTCCCTAACCGAAGATTTGAATGAAGATCAATTGTCGAAGACAAGATGAGTTGTGGGATGATATCATCCATGAAGGAATCAAAAGGTCATTTACAAAAACAGAGGAGAAAGGAAAAAAATAAAAAATGGATGTCAGAAAAGGCTCTAAAAATTGCACTGGAGCATCGAGAAGGCAAAACAAAAGGAAAACTTGCCAAAGCAAAAGCTGAAAAGAAGATTCCAAAGGGCAGCTCAGAAGGACAAAGCAAAACATTATAATGGAATGTGCACAGAACTGGAATTTGAGAATAAAAAGGAAGGGATTTGCTTTGCATTTCTCAAGCTGAGGGACTGAAAAGCAAATTTAAGCCTCGAGTCACAATACTGATGGGCAATATATTGAACGACCCAGAAAGCATCAAAAGAAGACAGAAGAAATACACAGAATTACTGTGCCAGAAAGAACTGACATTTGTATATAACTCTAGAAAACGCAAACTAATCTATGTTGTTGTTGTTAGGTGCCATCGAGTCTTACCCCATGAACAAAAGGCCTGAGCACTGTTTGTACATAAAGTTTCCAGAAGCAAGCCATTTTGGAAGGGGATGCTGCTCCTGCTTCCAGGCTTGTTTTAGTCGGGAAGCTTCAGCCAACACTGTCCACCATGGGTACCCATTACCACGTTTGGCACATCATTGTCACAGCGTTCAGCATCACAGCAACCACGAGTTACCTCTGTACAGCAATGCACAGACCAGTGTTATACCACCTCGCTCCTGGAGGCAGAGCACTGGACTGCAAAAGCCTGCCGGAACACCTGTGCATGCAGCACCATGCTCTCTCTGGCAAACTAATCTATAGTGACAGAAAAAAAAAATTAGTGTTTGGCCTGAGATAGGTAATATGCTAGTGAAGGAGATGGGGGGACATATGGAGATGCCAGAGAAAAGCAGCATGGTAAATGGAGCTCGCAAGAGGTAGGGGAGCAAAGAACCTGGAGGAGAACTGAGTGAAGAGGCAGAGCAGCTGGAGTGGGGCGGGGCTAGAGGCTGAGAGGAGGGGAGGGAGAGGAGGGAAGGGGAGAGAGAAAAGGTGAGAGAAGGAAAAGGAGGGGAGGGGAGGGAGAAGGCAGAGATTGGGGCTAGCCCGATGGGGCGAGGCTAGTGACAGAGAGGAGGACTGGAAGGAGAGTGGAGAAGAGAGGACTGGAGGGGCAGGGACAGCAGGGCGGGGTGGGGCTTAAGATGGAGAGGCGTGGAGGGATTGAAATAGAGGAGGAGAGTGAAGGGCCTGGTTTAAAGCAGGGAGGGGAGGGGCGAGCAGGGAGAGGAGGGGCGGGGCGAAGGAGGGGAGGGCTGGCGGAGAGGGAGCAGAGCAAGCAGGGAGGGGCGTGGCTAGAGATAAAGGGGGCGGAAAGGGGAGTGGAGGAGAGAGGATTGGAGGGGCGAGTAGAGGGGGCGGGCCTGCGCTCTGGGTTTGGGCCCGCAGAGCGAGGGTGCTGTCATGGCGCATCTGCTGAGGGCGCTCTGTGGCTTGACTTTCCGAGATGCCCCTGTACGGCTGGGGCGGGCTGGGGCGGGTATCAGCGGCCTCAGCGCGAGACTGAGACACCGGGGCGAAGGTAGGTCGCAGACCTCACCCCTCAAAGGCTCCTCCTCTCCTCCTTTCAGTTTCATGACTTTTGCTAGTGAGCCTGTGATTAAGCGCTGTTCAGCGGAATAAAGACTGCAGTTAGCCTACCCATCTAGTGAAGATTAACTACCAATCTAGTAAAGATAACCAAAACCATCATCCTACATTCTGTTCTGAATCTTAAGAGACCCTAAAGTGTAAAATTAACCGCCCTACTGAGTTTTCAAATCTTTCTCTTTCTTCCACTGACTGACCGACCTTTGAGTTAGCATCCAGGTTCTCACCCCTGTTTCCCGGCCTCTTTTTTTTACTGACAGTTGTTGATTGCCTTGAGTAGAGCACGACTCAAAAAGATCCTATGAACAAAAGGCCTGAAGACCCTCTACATTTATCAAGGTTCATAGTTTCCAGAGGCATGTATTAAGAAGTGGACGCCACTCCTGCTTAGCCCTGGTCTTTGACATTGTATCCTCTTAGCAGTTGTACCCCTTTCTTCTTTTCACCTATGATAAGCAGCTAATTCAGAATTTGGATTCCTGTGAATGCGTTGCCTGCTCTGGGAGACATATGTGCTAATAATTTGTTCCCTCTTTAAACCAATCATGATTATTTGTTGGGGTTTGGTGGTGGCTGTGAGATAACCCAAGGAGGATGAGGGTTAGGGTGAGACAGAGACGGGGAGAGGGGAGGGGAGGGGGAGGATGGGGAGAAACGGGGAGAGAAGAAGAGAGAGTGAGTGAGTGAGTGTGTGTGTGTGTGTGTATGTGTGTGTGTGTGAGAGAGAGAATGAGTGAGTGTGTGTTCCTGTTCCTGTGTGTTCGTGTTTGATTGGCTCATAGCTTTTCACCATTAGGAAGAGCCCAGTGTCAACTGACCTGGTATTTTAGATAATATTTTATGGTAGTTTCGTGTCTCTTTGGGACTGCTTTCTTGGGCATCTATCCAAATATTCCACTGTCCAATTCTGTATGTATCCAGGGAAGATGTTTGGAACTCGAACTCCACTACCAGTGTGCCCAGTCATTTAGAACTCCTGTCTCCTAAAGTTTTTTGCTTCTGGATTGTTGTTGGTTTTGTTGTTGTTTTTCTATAAAGTAAGGCTAAGTAAATGAATATATAAAAGCATTGGATGAGCAGTTGACTAATTTAGCTCGACTTCCTCTCAATGTCCCATAACCCTTTGATGTCGGTGGTGAGCCAGTCCAATGACATGTGTTATGCACATGATAAGACCTGCTGATAAGACCACAGGAAGAGATTAGAGTTGCAGAGGAGCACTCCACATTCTTAATTTAAGTGGTGGTGGCTTTAGTGGAAATTTCTCCTTCCGGTGTGTACTTGGTGCTGTCCCCAAGGTGAATTGTCCTGGATCTGAAGTTCTTAAGCAGTATAAAAATTGGCCAGACTTCAATACATAAGATATCACTCCTCGAATTTATTTTAAAGAAATAATTCAAAATTGTAAAGCTGTATGAAAAGAGGTTTTTAACAGCATTGCTACTTTTAAGAACCAAAACCTAGCTATAACCCAAATGATGAGTTCTATCCTGTAAGGCTGCCATATGGAATAAACAGAAAACCAACCAACCATGAATTTAAAGAAAAATATTAAGAACTTAATTAAGTATTCAATACAATGTTAGCTATAATTACAGAAATAAACATAAAAGAACAAAGGTGTCCGACATTTAACTTATGTGTAGTCTTGGAAAGGATTAAGAAAGAAAAAAAAATAGGGGACAGTGAAGTGTGAGATGTGAAAAAGGACTGTTCTCTAGGACTAAGATTTCTGATATGCTTAGAGGCAAGGCCAGTGTAGCTTTGTCACCCAGATGGACAAAGAACAAGTTGAAAGAAGGAAGTAAGACATATCCTGGAGAAGACAATTTGTTTCAGGGACATTTTCTTTCAAGGAAGAATCTGCTAAGGGACCATTCAAGTGTGTGGTTAAAATTATGCAGACATCGAGGAAAGCAGCACAGACACTGTGACAGGAGAGCAGACTACTTCCTCAGAGTGGAGTGGGCTGGAAATTCTTACACCAGTTCCGAAGAAATTCCCTCAGCTGACTTCACTTGTGGCAGCCTGGCAATATAGCAATGCTAGCCAGAATGGTAATGAAAGCCAATGGGTGACCATAAGACCAACAATTCATTACCTTAGAAATGAGACTGTTGAGGCCCATTT